GCGCTTTAGCTGCACTTTTCTTCCAATTGAAACAGAAAATCAAAACTTCCCGCAAATGGTGCTTATTTGGAACGAAACTCGACATTTTCAACGCAGTAAAAATTAAACTTGTTGTGCAAAACTCAAAGGCTTGTAAACAATATTTGACAGATGTTGACACTTCACGATGCAGCAAAAATCAGCTGTCGCCGTCAACCATTTATAGCACCTAGAGCCATCTTTTGAAAACGGACCGAACTAAGTTGTACACCCAATAGTATAAGATTTTCATGTTTACCTTCTTCCGTTTTATATTTCCACGAAAGCTTCGAAGGTCGTCCTGGGACACCCTGTATATAGTTTCCTCAACCAAAATATTGCTATCTCTTTCTTGTGGTCTGCAGGACGAATACTATAATTTAGAGATCAGTAGGCTTTGGTTACTTTATACAACATTTAGAATTCCGCTTAAATACATATGGACAAGCAACAGAAAAGTGAAAACTTTATATGAAAGCAGCAAAAACTTCTAGAATACTATAATTTCTACCTTTTTGTACACATGGCTAAAAGTAACATTAAAATTTTATTACGGCAACTATATTTAGCCAAATGATATTCCTAGTCTTTCCTCCGCGTATTACTTTCTTATCAAACTAGAAATTTATTTGATGATCCTGATAAGGTTGATCCAAATTAGTTATACAATCCAGTTTGTATAAGATAATTTCATCAGGTCATAATAAATTATGTAACGCAGCATGGTAATTAGAACCTTATTAATTAGGACCTTATTAAGGATTCATCATCAGAACGTAATCAAATAGTAGTCAGATCTCGTAAAATCTTTCTCAGATCTTCGCATAGAGAAAAAGATTATTTTGTGAGAGAGATAAAAACTTGATCATTTTGTTTAATAATTAAAAAATCGGGTATTTTGTTACTAACTCTCTGTATTCCCCCAATCAAATATTTTACCGTCCTGTGAACGGTTCATTTATCTCTTTAAGCTGACTACGGTCTCACATGTTGCCTCACATGACTTCAATCGAGCAGGAATTGATGATGTAAAATTGATAACAAACTCTGACAATATATTTATAGTTCATGTTTATAAATTATCCTTATAACTTAGTGGCTTATATAAATGTTTAGTAACATTTGAAGCTGAACATTTGAAAAAGAGAAAATGTAGAAAATAATTTCTAAGAAAATAATTTTTAGAGATTATACTTATTATATATAATATTAACTACAAATGACCTCTATTGAATCCTTACAAGACAAACTATAATAGAGAGAATCAGTAAAATCTCGAAAAATATTCGTTTAATATAAGAGCCAATGCACAATGCCTTGCACAATGCCAGGCTACAGGCAATAAGAATAGGTATTAGCCAATAGGAACAGAGAATAAAAATAATTGACCAATCCGAATTCCTATTCCCTGTTTCTATTGCCTGTTGCCTGGCATTCTGCAAGAACCTTTACTCTATAAGATAATATATTAAATTAATATATTAGGATCCTCATGTAGACTTATGATGGGCCTAACCATCATAACCTTACAAAAGTCTTTCTTACTCAATTCTTAACATGCTCTTATCAGATAGGATTTCTAGTGAGGACTATAGGACTATATTTATCCAATTTACGACTAAAAATTTATCCTATAGCTCTAATCAGGTTAATCTCAATTGGTTATCAGGTCCGAATAAAGTAATATTAGCGGGTCCCAGTAAATCATATAATGCAGCGTGGACATTAATATCTTTTTCTATCAAGGATTTCTAGTGAGATCCTTATTATCCTATTGAATCTTTATTACGTTTTATTTCAGATTAAAGAAAAAATTAGAATTATGTAAAATGAAATAAAAATAATTCTGTAGAAATATATTTATTTATAATTTGTCAATTTTTAGATTTACAATATTGATATTATATAGTATAATATGCACATTATAATGCATTGCATTAAAAAAATTTAAAAAACAACTTATTTTATTAATAGTTTCTTAGTAACTTGTATTTAATTATAAAAAAATAATTTTAATAAATGATGATTTGTTCGAATCTTATGAGTTGTATGCGAATCAATTACATAAATTTTTAATTAAAATTAATTGAAATTAAAAAATATTGAAACAAATTTTTTGGAAATAATTATATGAAAATAAAATCTATTATTTTTAAATCTATTATAAATATAAATATATATAAGCATACATAAGTATAACTATATAACACACACACACACACACACACATATATATATATATATATATAAAATGTTAACTATAAATAGTCCTCATTAAAACCTGATAATACAAGCCATAATAATTAAGTGAGTAAGAATCCCGACAAAGACCTATTTTATTGATTTTATTGATTTTTTATTGATATTTTTGTGAGTTTAACAGATAATTCTTGATGACACTTTATATATTCGCAGCTCTTATCAACCGAAACATACTTTTTTTTTACTATTACATATTCTCAAAAAATTCAAAAGTTACTTTTTTGTAGTAAAAAAATAGTTTCTGTCTCTGTCTCTCTCTCTCTCTCTCTCTCTCTCTCTCTCTCTCTCTCGAGAGAGAGAGAGAGAGAGAGAGAGAGAGAGAGATTATACGTTATCTTCTCTGCACTATAATTCATGGAGCTGCGAGAATAAGTAAGATGATCAAGAATTATTCGTTAAATAAAAAAATATCAATAAAAAAATACGTTTTTGTTCACAATTGTCAATTGTTTATTAAAACTTGCTGAAAAACGTGGCTTTTCTAGAAAAGCTACATATTTCCAAAGTTTCTTAGGATTTGGATAATTTCAAGGGAATGCTGAAACTGAAAACTTTGCCGACAGAATACTCTGATATTTTTCTGCAAAGTTTACGTTCTATTGATACAGAATTGTAAATGTTTTTACGCAATGAAAGCACGTGCAAAAATAAATAGGGACATTATTCAATATGTGACGAAAACGAAAAAGAAATTTTAAATGTAAAGTCTCAAATTGTCAGTTAGCGTAATATTTGTCTAATTTAAAAGTTCCGCAGTTTATACATATCAAAAGTGCGGAACAGAAAAATTTTAAAGAATATTGCTATATCTTCGCATCTGAATTCAGAAGTTTAAAAATGTCCGAAAAGTTTGCAGAAAGATTTCTACACATGTATGCGTGATTAGGTTTTCCGCTAAAGCTTCCGTTGAGAAATATGATAAGAATAGCATGATTGTGTTAGTGATGTTCGTTTCTGGGTTATCGAAATTTTTCGAGTTCGTCATTGACTTCAGGATTTACTTATGTTTCGTATTTGAATTCAGTACGCAAAAAAATATAAAAATAGTCTGATTTCATACATTCCCCTTATATTTTCTAACTTTTGGCCCTTTTACAGCATTCTTCTTTGCCTTTCCTTTTTCCTATGCGTAATTTTTACTCTCTTCGACTCTCAGTAAATTTGTTCTCGTCCGCGAGTTCGTGTATTTTCAGTTTTACGAATGTACAAGTTCCGCATATATTTGAGTTATCCGAAACACCTCGGTTGTATTTTCGTGTGGTTCATTTTGCAATATCGCGGTCAGGCGGAGAGAAGAAAAAAAAAAAGAAATTTCACGCGAGTTTTCTGCGGGGAAAAAGACTTCGTGAAAATTACTAATATGGCACGTGCGTCCGATGCAAAACGGTGACAGTACGTCTACGAAGGAGCCGCTTGCTATTAATTACCCTTGATGCACGCGATATTGACTTCCCCGGCTGCTGCACACTCCGCCTAAATGAATGCGGGCAAAAGATGTAGCTGCTGCCGCCGCCGCCGCCATCTCCGCGAGAAAAATGTCCCGTCGCGGAAACTCCTGGCGCAGTTTTTTTTTATTTGCGCAAGCATAAATCATCTTGGCTCAAACCGCGCCTCATACCGCGTGTGTAAATTTTCCACCGGCGGGGAAATTTCTCTGCCGTCCCTATAAATAGAAACTCGCTAATTTATCTCGCTAATGATACAATCTATCGTGCCGGTAATGCGTAATTAAAATGCGTCGTAATTACAACTCTGGATTCGCCGTTATTTGCGAAGTGAGAGTCTGTCGATTGACTCGAACAGTTCTTCAATTATCTTTGAGCATAAATTTCTTCAAATAAGGATCTCTCCCTCCTCGATTCTAATTGTTTTCTATAAATTAGAAGCTTGCTTTTAATTTGCTCTCTTTCTTTCTCTCTCAATCTTTTAGAATTCACAATCGACTGAGGCAGGAATTTTGCGAAAAGTTAGCGCAATTTTCACGGAAGAATATTTTCCGAGTTAATGTCAAGCAGAAATGGAAATCCACAGAAAGTTCGCGTGTGCGGGAAATTTTTTTTGGTACCAATGAAGGGGAGGTAAAAATTTGCGGTCGCTTCAAAGCGAAAACCGCAAATAAAAAAAAAGAAATTAACGAATTATATTCAACCGCGCTGAAATAAAAATTCCGCATACCAACAATAATAAAACCGACTATACCGCGTTTCATGCTCGGAACGTCAGCGCCATATTCGCGAATTAAAATCCGCGTTGCTACGATGGCAATTTTGTTGTTTGCGAAATCTATCGAATGCTATCGTTTCGTTATCATTCTCGTTTAGGAAATGCAACAACGTTGAAAACACCAATCATGTACATTCGACGTGTGCACGACGGCTCTTTTGCACGCGGTTTGTAAGAATTTTATTTTGCATGTACACGCGAAAATTCAGACTTGCTGAAGTTTCGTTTTAATTCCCAACGCGCGAAAGTTCCTCGTAACTCCGATTTACCCGTAATTTCTCAGCATTTATTCGCGGGGGAAAGAAGACGTCTTGCCATTATAATTCGCAACGCAAATTCTTCTCTCCGGACTTCCCGTGACTTCGACGAATGCCCAGAGTGCAAACTTCGTCGATTAAGCCGTTGCCGTTGTCGAAGTTGCTGTCTTCCGGCGATTCCGCGATTCTCGCTGCAACCGTGCAGGAAGTAATGTCTCCCTCTCTGTCTTCCGTTTTCAGGCAACCATCGCCGAGTTCTGGTACCACCGGCACCTCCACGGTGTCGTCGACGACGGAGGGCGACGCGACCCAAAGCATCGGCATGTATCCGATGGGCGTCGCGACGTCCGCCACCGTGACAACGGCGACGCCGGTGACGACGACGGCTTCGGCGACGGCGTCAGTGCCGTTGACGGCTACGTCGGGTACTGGAACCGGTATCGCCAGGAGCGTCTCCGCGCCGAGTGCGCCACGCCCGGTTGTCCAGATCAGCAGCTCTTCGGCGAGCACCTCGGCGACGCAACGACCGAGGCTGCGAAGGAACCTCAGTCGTACTGAAGCCATTCGGAAGTAAGTATTATACGAATCGATACCTTTGACAGTCGTTATAACGCGTCATCGCGTTTAGACGGAGTATTTCAATGACAGGTGATTGAAATTCTTACATAGTAGCTGTCCCAATTATAGGTTAAGTTCCAATTTCAGATTCAAACTTGGTTCATTAGTATATCGAAAAAGTATACATTATAATGCGAGCATGGAAAAAAATTATTGGTGTTCTTTAGTTCTTTTACAATTATATTATATTCTCTAAATTTCTTGAAGAGGAACTTCCTTCGAGAAGTAGAGTGACTGCCGAGTCACTCGAATTCAAGTGGTTTTTCAGTCATATAAAACAAGCATGCGGCCGAGTTGCACATTTCGATTGATTTTATCGACTGCCATACCCACTCCTCTTGTAGCATTTAGGTTATTTGCGGAGACGTAAGACGCTCGAGATCAGAGAGGAATTAGCTATGAATCGTACGAAGTTTTGGCGCGTGTTGTCCTCTTCAGCATAAACCTTTCTAATTATTCTTTTGAATTTAGAATCAGTTAATTTAAGTCTAATAATATTTCTTTGAAACTATAATGTTTGTTACTTATATTGATATTAAAAATTCTTTTTAATGTTCGATCGACAAACTTATGTACGTTAATAAAAGTTATTCTGATCTTATCAAATAATCCATAATAGAATCCACAAGATCGATACGTTGATTAAATTAACACGTTTGCTATCACATGTTACATAAGGGAGAGACAAGATTCTATACTTTTCAAAATTTCGAAGTTACTACCTCACAGACAATTGTTGTGATCGACTATACGAACATAATAGAGACAACTTATTTCTATGTGTTATGCTCATAATGATTCTATAGATCCTATAAATTGTATATTTTATTCTGTAATAACCGAAATATGAACATGGTGTAACGTAGTTGTACCATCTTGTCCTGGTACTAGATTAAATTGGCTAATAGCCCAGGATAAAGAAGGCTACACATAAAATATGTATCCCGATTAGTAGGTATTTCTACGAGAGATCTTCACAATCCTGCGAGCTTTTAATTGTGGGTTAATTTTATGTCGTCTATCCATATGGTCTATTTTAATTATTTTATGGAAGTCGCTTTTATTATCAAAAATACATACAGAGAGAGAAAGAGAGAGAGAGAGAGAGAGAGAGAGAGAGAGAGAGAGAGAGAGAGAGAGAGAGAGAGAGAGTGTGTGTGTGTGTGTGCATGTATGTGTATGTCATATATTTGCAGGAAACATCATTCTGACTAATAATAGATCACTTAAATTCACTCACAATGAAAAATATTAATAAGAAATTTCGAGATGCATGAAATTTTTAGCTGTAATATTATTTCGATTTTAATGTAATTCTTAGGGAAAAATATGTTCTAAAAGGAATATTTTGTAATTTCATTTCCACTGTTATTCTCACGATATATATATATATATATATATAAATAAAGCATATGGCCAACATATCTCTTGGGCCAATTAAACCTGGTTTCCTTTATATGTGGTGAATTGACTGATTCTCACGAGAAACTGGCGTCACTTATATGTGGCAGTGATAATTTTTTACTTTATCTCTACACATATAAAGAAATTAGTTTTATCTTATATTATCACATAAAAAACTTATGGGACGATCTGTTGGGAAGGGGAGGTGGACAATTCCTGAATATTGTGAAATAATAATAGAGTAGATAGTAGGCTCTTTGATATATAGTCAAAAGTGAAAGAATTGAGAAAAAGATGGTTTTTCAAGTTCAAAAATCCATAAAAAATCAGGTCAAAATCATATCGAAATCAGGTCAGAATGATGTGAAAATTAACGATCGATTTGATAATTCTAAGACTTCATCACGGTATTTGGAAGATGTATTATGTAAATGTACGATGTCGTCGTTATCCAGTTTATGTCATATTCAGATCGAATCAGTATATCTATTCGACTTGAATATGGTGCCGACATTTATATGATATCTCCTGGTTATCATATAGGTAAATAGATCGATTATATAACTACACGATATCGACAAAATGTAACACGGATCTGTCGTCTATGCAGCGTTTATCTTCCTTTGCATATCTCATCAGCAATATAATGGTGCCGACACGACAATGTTGTGTTTATTATCGAACACTTTGTATAATAAACATATGAAAATGAAACTGCAGATAATCAATTTGATATCAACAGTACAGTCAACAACTAAAATTACAAAATTCCAACACACTTTTATTTTCGCAACGCGAAAGTAAAACATGTCACTCATACATATAAGTAAAGCTTATTTTTTTGCTTTTTGTCACGTGGCACTGCGACTAGCACGACACAAATTACTTTTGACTATTAGATACATAAATGTTTTCTCTCTTTCTCAAACTTGACTACAATTTTCTAAATATGCGGTATGTTTTTTAATTGTTATTGTCGTTCACCATCATTGATAAAGATGCAAATTGGGATCGGAAAATTTGTGAAAGATTTTATTAAATGAAGTTTTTGTTAAAATAATATTTCTTGTTTAAAAGTAACTCCACACCTAACTATTGACTTTCTGACATAGGCTCTACGCACTTGTGTTTTAACATTGAATCAATTAAATAGTTAATAATTAAGAAAAGTTTACTATACTACAATAAGTGTCCCTATTCCATATCTCAGCTGCTATATCAGTCATGGCTATATCTTAGTTTTTTTAATTAATTCGTTTTCCACCTATAGATATTAATAATACATCAACTAGATATCAACTATACATCGATACGATATCGATAACATATCATACAGACCTGCCATTCATGCAACATTGATCTTCCTTTGTACATCAATAAAGAATTTCGAGCTGTTATCAAAGCAACCAATTTGAAAAATTTTTATTAATATCTTGATCATTTTATTATGATCTGATCTTTGACTCTTAAACTCGGGATTTAGCGAATACTTTAATAAAATTGCATAAACTTCGCTCACAACGAAATATCTCCTGTAATTGCAGGAAAGAAAGGCACACAAAGCACAAATCGAGGGGGAAGAAGCGTGGTCTTTTTTGGGCATCATCTGAATGTAACTGTGATTGCTTATGAATGTCCTAATCTCCATTATTGTGGTGTCATTGATAGATTCTTAGAGAAGATATGTACACACACGTACACATACATTATGTACATAGACAGAGTGATACGCGTATCACGTAGTATATAAACTGTACATACTATAGTTATGATGAATATATTCCTGACTCGTAGTAGCGAAGTAATGCAACAGATTATTTTTATACATCGCTGAAGAAGATTCAAACTGGAAAAATGTTCATAATCTTCCGGCGGACTCGCGTCTTGCATAATTTATGTAATTTTAATAAGATACTCGTTATACCATCTGCGCTGACTCTTGCTCGTCTAATTTTCTTTCATTTTCTTCCTTTTCATTGAAATTCTTAACTGAACTATTCATTTTCCTTTACTTTTTTTGTGCTTTGTGAAACTGCTTTGTAAAAAACGATTTTTTCTTTTTCGAGATTAAGCGAATAATAATTTTCGTATAGCAGAATTAAAATAGTTGATCTGTGCTACGTCGGAGAGAGAAATTTTTTTTTCAGTGGCGGCATCTAAGAAATCCCTCATAAATTTACTACTTATCGGACAAAAATACTTTTCTATAAATTTATTATTATTTAAGTAATACATTTAAATAAAGTAGTAAACGGTAACTTGAAACGAAATTGAGATAAATACATATAATATTATAGTTTCATATCAATTCGAAATTTTATATATACATTCTTTTCGTATAAACTCTTTTCAATTTTACTATATTTCTAGTAGTCCAAGAATAAACTGTCAGTAAAGTCTATCTTGCGAAAGAACATAGCAAATTTTGTTAGAGACATAATAGGTTTTGCTACAAACATATAGCAAGTTTTAATAATATATTTTAGTTTCTAAAATATAAGTAACGCATTGAAAGGAAAAGATAATTAAATGCTGCATAATATCGATCCTCCTTATAAAATCCTATAATAATTTTGGTAATTATGCAGTATAGGGGAACCACCTTCGATGACCTTGATATATATTATTAAGGACACCCTCCTGAGTAACCTTCAGAAGGTTTTAGCCGTCGCTCGTTATTCGTTAAAAAGTTATTAATAAAAGAAGTTGCATAAAATAAGTG